GAAGTTCTCCATCATTAGCTCAAGGTTGGATTTTTGCGGAGGTGTTTACATAGGTTGTTGGACTAAAGGTGGCCTTGTTTGGAATCTAGGTGGTGCATTATAATTGTTGTTTTGAGGTGGTGGTGGAGTCGGATTTTGTTGAGCTTGGGTATCCTTGTAAGAGAAATTTGGATGATGTTTCCACCCTTCATTATATGTGTTTGAATGAGGGTCATATGGCCTTTTGGAATTCGAAGTGTAGAATGCATTGGCCTCCTCGATCAACATCTCATTCGAGTTTTGTGGACAATTAGGTGCAATGTGACCTTGTACATTACACATTTGACAAGTTTCAGGTGAGCTAGAAGATGATCCAGCTTGGAGCTTGTCAATGCCTGCACAGAACTAGTCAAAAGAGTTAGAGCATCAACATCAAATTTTCCTCCCTTCTTCACACTATTTTGGCCTCCTGGATGATAATTGCAATTGTCATTAGCCGCCATCTTCTTAATTAGCCCTTTCGCCTTAGTTGGGTTCTTAGTCAAGAGAGAACCCCCAGATGCAGCATCAATATAGATTTGGAACTCGTGTGTTAAGCCATTATAGAAGGTTTGGATCAACATCCATTCAGGAATACCATGGCGAGGGCATTGTCTCTACAATCGCTTGAATCTCCTCCATGCTTCATATAGGGACTCATCATCTGACTGCCTGAAAGTAGATAACTCGTTTCTCAACCTTGCAATCTTTTCCTGTCCCAAGAACTTGACTAGAAAAGCTTTCATCAGTTTGTCCCATGTGTCAAAAGAGCCAGTACCTTCATCTCTCAACCATTCCTTCGCCCTACCCCGTAAAGAGAAAGGAAAGAGGCGAAGTCTAATAGCATCATCTGTAGCACCATTTAGCTTCATAGTATCGCATTTCTCCAAAAAAACTATCAATGTGACTCACTGAGCAATCATAAGGTGTGCCTGCAAACGAATCATTGGAGATGAATTAAATGAATTATGGTTTCAATTCAAAGTTTTGAGCAGTAACGGGTAGTCTGACAATGCTAGAGAGGAGTCCAGTTGTTGTATCAGGAATACCGTACTCCAAAAGAGATTACGTTCCTGGATCGCCCATGTTTCTATTGTTTTGATTTCTCCTTCTTCTTTTACCTTTTCATCTCCTTGCAGTTGCTTCGATTTCAAAATCAAAAGGTGTTAAATCGTCTGACCCTGAACGTCGTGTTTGCATGCAACAAAGAACTAAAAGCAGAGTATCAAAAACACAAGAGACAATAGCCGAAGCAACAAATAAAGCTTAGTAAAAACAAATCACGGATAATAAGAATGAAATCGTTAGTCCCCGGCAACGGCGCCAAAATTTGATAAGCGGTCGCACACCTAACAAAATTAACCTGACAAGACCACTACGATGTAGATAGGCAAGTAAGAATCGAATCCCAAGATATTGGGGTTTGACTAATTAAACAGACTCAAATAAATACTAAGCAAGTAACAAATATAATAGTGAGAACTAATAACTAAAGAGCTAAATAAAGCGATTAAATCTAGTAATATAATAAATAAAATGCTAAAAACATCCAAGATCAAGCATCACCACGAATACAATTTATGCAATAGTCGTTCTACCCCTAACATATAATTCAATTGATTAACGAGGAAAAGCAATCCCTAAATGTTACCAATGGTCTCTCCCGAGTTATCAATGGCTTCCCTAGTCACAATCAAGCCTACTTCCGTGGAATCATGTAAATTAAAGACTTGGAGCACATTACTCTAACTTCCTAATCTTCCATTCAACTACTCCCGTGATGAACTTCAAATCCTTAATTGATTTATTCAAACCCGTTAAAACCCAACTCCCGATGCGATTAAAACAATGGATTAATAACAATACTAATTATCCCTAATCAAGTATTGGCATGAGCACAATCAATTAAGCAAATCAATTGCAGTTATCATTAGAGAAATTAAAGAATTAAATTAAATCATGCATTAACCATATTCTGGTTCCGCTAGATCTTGGAATAAAGAAACTACTCACCCATAGTCATGAAAACAAGAATTATATTCAATAACGAAAATCTAATTAACAATAATAAAATAAAAGAATTGAGAGAAGAAATTAATACTTGGAATTAAATATGAAATCTTGAATCTTGAAGGCAAAACTCTTGGAAACTAATGTAGAAGAACATAATACCAAAAACTCCAAATTAATGTATGTAAAAGTGATAGATAAAAGACTATCTAAAACCTATTTATATCCTAGCATAAAACTAGGTATTTCTATCCTAATAGGAGTCCTAGACGCTGCTTAAACAGGCTGCCACAGGTGGGTTGTGGCACGGAGAGAACCGCTACAACCAGGTTGTGGAGGGGCTATCTTCGCTTCTCCTTTGCTCCAATAATAGACGCCCACAACCAAGTTGTCGCCAACAGGTAACACGCCACAACCAGGCTGTGGAGTAAGCTGCTAGGATGCTTTAGAATGCTAGAAATGCTCCTTATAAAGAAATATCTCGCGATCAAAACGAATTCCACGCAAATCGAGCCATATTCCTACAAAAACAAAAACAAACAAATCGAGAAGAACAATGTCGAAATAGGAATAATAATAACTCAAAATGATTAGGAGAATGAAGAAAACACAATAAAACATGACCAAATATCGCATATTAATCGTGTATAAAATCGTGTTATCATCAATCATAAACATGCATGTATATGGTGATATGGAGATAATGATTAAATTGGTAGAATGTACTACTAACACATACACTTATAGACTTATAGAAGAAGGTATATATATTGTCATATTGATGAATAGCTAGCTCTAAAATCATACCGTACACAATATTAGCTAATGCAGTATAATCTATTGTTTCAATTAAGTAGTTATAATTATGTGGTTCCATGCAATAAGCGTTTCAACGTAAGATATAGATATATAGTTCTTGAACTATAAAGATCAAATCTTATATTAATAAAACGTACGATTTGTCATATAATTGCAACAATAATAATAAGGTTTAAGGTAATGGACTGCAAAATTGCTTTGAGTATTGCCAACAAATATAATGTAGCAGATATGTTGTCGATGGAGATGATTACTCATGCAGCGGATATAATTCAGCTGTGACCTCCTGACATTCAACTTTATGCCGGGTACCGAGCCAGTTTGATTGATCCGTTTCAAAATAAATGTCTCATTTTTGTTTATGATTGATTTTCATATTTTTCACTTGCGTATGCTCTCTGTTATAGAACACTATGAAAGAAGTTGTCACATTTTCGAATATTTTGTACTATAAAATAAGTTACGAGTAGTGAATATTGATAGGAAAAAAAAAACATTGAATTTAGGTTAAAAAAAAAATTGTATTTATTATCATTAACATAAAGCATCAATTCATGGCCTTCTCCTATGCCTTAAGTAAAAATAAATTATTGAATTTCGTCTATATTACAAATATATATCTTTTGTGGCTCTCTTCACACACAAAGTTATCTTTTACTTGTTCAACATATAAGGTTCTTAAAATAAAAATAAAAAAATAAAAAAAAATTCCCCCAAATTTGGATGTAATAGGTTCAAAGCATATGGCTCTTAACCTTCTTTCTTTTTTTTTTTTTTTTTTTTCCTTTTGTTTCTTTCTTTTTTATCCTTTTTCTTCTTTTGTTAGGTTTATTTATTTTTTTCACCTTTTTCTTCTTTTGTTAGGTTTATTTATTTTTTTCATCCCTTTCTGTAAATTTCTTTCGTCCTTTTGAAGAATAATAATTGGAAGTATATCAATTTGTCGAGACAAAAATTTTAAGACCACATAAATATATTCTTGTGTGGTTAATAATTTAAAGTGCATGACCAACCCTACAGTATGTATATACCCACTATATTTTGTATGAAATTGATTTTACCCTGCAAAATATTGTCAGAAATTTGAGAGTTTCCAAAAACATAAACAACAAAATTATGTTTAATCGCTTAGAGCACTCCCAGCAGTGAGGAGAAAAGCCCTCACGAGTAAAAATAAGGGTGTAAAAAAAATACCCGAGCATTACGTTAGTGAGGGAAAAAACCCTCACCGTTGAGAGCTATGGAAAACGCACAAGAGTTGAGGGGAAATACTCGTGAACAGTAACAAGTGGGCCCCACTCGTACACGCGTCTTTCCCTTTTTTTTCCCTTCTGGCTTGCAAAACGACGTCGTTTTGCCTTAAAGAAGGGCGAAACGACGCCGTTTTGAGGGGCAAAAAGGGAAAAAAAAATAGGGGCAGCTGGCCTGACGCGCGTCAGACCCAGCCAATGGGGATGCGACACGCGTCAGGCTTTATCCTTCCAACCAATCAGATTTTTTTGCTTTTATTACAACGGTTATATTTTTGTAAGGTAAATATAACCGTTGTAATTATAAAAAAAAAAAAACAAAATTCACCAACGGATAGATTTTTTTTTTTCTCTATAAATAGACATGCATTTTGATATATTTTGATATACTTTCAAAAAACCTATAAATACTACAAATTTCCTTCTTTTCCCAATTTCTTTGAGTTATTTTCATCATTTTTATTATTATTATTATTCGTAAAAAAAAAAAAAAAACCTCAGTTATTATTTAGTATTATTATTATTATTATTTTTATTATTATTATAATTATTATTATTATTACTAGTAGTAGTAGTAGTGTTAATTTAAAAAAAGTAGTAGTTTTATTGGTATTCTTATAATTATTATTATTATTATTATTATTATTAATTTCTTTATTATTATTTCTGTTAAATTTATTAATCCTTGAAAAAAATCGTATTATTATATTGTCAAAAAAAAGTAGTAGTATTATTATTGTTGTTGTTGTTATTATTATTATTATTATTATTATTATTATTATTATTATTATTATTATTATTGTTATTATTATTATTATTATCATTATTATTATTATTATTATTATCATCATTATTATTATTATTATTATTATTATTATTATTATTATTATTATTATTTTGCTAATGGATCCTAACAAACCAGATTTTTCTAATTATTTTTCTGATTTGGGTGATGATTTTGTCACTAACCCTCGATTTCAAACCTTCCTTCAACGAATAGCTACTCAATATCCACCGCAACAAACACCTCCTCAATTTCCACCACAACAAACACCTCCTCAATTTCCACCACCACATTCACCTCCTGTTTATCAAGGGAGCAATTCTCAATATGAAGATGAAATGGAAGAAAGTGTTCCAGATACTCCACAATACCCTCCACCTCCTCCAAGAGTGTTTGTCAATCAAAACCAACCACTTACAAAAGGGAGTCGAATGTGGTCTGTTGCGGAGGATGAAACTCTTATTGGTTTGTATCTGCAATTCAGTGAAGATGCAATTGTTGGTACAAACCAAAAAGCATCTGTGCTTTGGAGAAAAATTTCAGCGGCATATGATGAAGCGCAGGCTGAGAAACCTCACATTCTACCACCAAGACCTTTGAGGAGTTTGGAAAGTCGTTGGAGAAGGATGGCAGCTGATTTAATACAATGGAGTAGCTGCTATGACGAAGCAGGAAGGGTTACAGGAAGTGGCTACAACGAAGAAGATCGAATTAATAACGCCAGTAAGTTATTCTATGCTTCCTCCAAGCCTACTCAACATAATTTTAATTGTCACCATGGTTGGAAAATGGTTAAAAATGACCCAAAGTGGAGGACAAAACTTAGGTGGGCGTTGTCAAGAGAGGAAAGATTAGCTGTAGGTGATGCCGTCGAAGATGATAGTAGTGGCAGTGATAAGCGATGTAGAACCGTAGAGGAAGGTGATACACCATCCACGGGTTTCTGTTCTGGAGGTCTTCCTCGACCCGATGGTGTTAAAAAGGCAAAGGCCAAGCGTAATAAGGGAAAAGAAGTGGCTTCTGATTCTTCAACCATTGGTGAGCAAATGAAGCAGAATAATGCCTGTAGGGAAACAGAGGCACAAATACGGTTGAAGAAGTTGGATTTTGACATGGAAAGGGAGAGGAGGAAACAAAAACAAGTCGAAATTCAACAAAAACAAGTTGACATACAAGAGAGAAGGCTGAACTATGAAATGCTGCAAGATCTACTTTCAAAGGGTACTGATCTAACTCCCGATGAAGAGGCCTACAAGGAGGAATTACGTGCAATGCTATATGGTAAAAGGCACGTGTGACTTGGAGATTTGGCTTATGTTTTATTTAGTTAATGTTAACTTTATGTTTTATTCAGTTAATTTAATGTACTAGTGTTTATTTAGTTTATGTTAAATTTATGTTTATGTAATGTTAAATTTATTATTAATATTCAGTTAATTCACATGTTTTCTTAGTAATTTGAAATTGATAAAGCTGATATCTGATAAAGATACAATCTGACACGCGTCACATGTCACCTCTGCTCAAACATCAATAACACTGCACAATCACATGCTAAAGTAATGCACTGAATTGTCACCTCTGCTCAAACATCAATAACACTGCACAATCACATGGTAAAATAATGCATTGAATTGTCACCTCGAGTCACATGCAATTTCAATTCCACTTTAACTCACATGCAAACTTACCACTACCATCCAATAATGACTTTCACATTTTCTATATATACCTGTGTTATTATAAACGGAAACAATCCCAAACACACCAACTACCTAACCAAAAAAAAAATGTCTTTCATTTCTTCCACCTCAAGCTCCTCTTCTGATGATTTCTCCAAAAATCATGAATTTGATTGCTTAGTTGATGAGTATGTAGCAAATCACCTACCTCATAGATTACTTCCTCCAGACCAACCACAAGAACCTCCACTAAATAATGAAACTGAACTATCAACGGAGCCCAAAAGGGATAGGGAAAGAGAAAAAGGGCATGTGCAACTATACAACGATTATTTCGCGAATAATCCAGTGTATAACGACAACCAATTCCGACGTAGATTTCGTATGCAACGGTCATTGTTCTGCCGCATTATGAGCAAAGTGGTTGAGGGGGATCAATTCTTCCAGCAACGTCGAAATGCAGCTGGGAAGCTTGGTTTATCACCGTTGCAGAAATGCACCGCTGCAATAAGAATGTTAGCGTATGGCGTAGCCACAGACGCTGTGGATGAATATTTACGTCTCGGCCAAACAACCTCTAGGCAGGCATTGCAACTTTTCTGTCAAGGGGTTATTTCACAATTTGAAAGTGAATATCTACGAAAACCTACAGATGAAGATTTAAGGAGAATCCTTCATCAAAATGATCTGCGTGGTTTTCCAGGGATGATTGGTAGTATAGACTGCATGCATTGGGAGTGGAAGAATTGTCCTACTGCTTGGAAGACACAATATGCTGGTCGTAGCAAGAGTGCAACTCTCATTCTTGAAGCTGTTGCTGATCAGGATCTATGGATTTGGCATGCGTTCTTTGGAATGCCTGGGTCATGTAACGATTTGAATGTCCTTTACCGTTCACCGGTATTTGATGATGTTTTACAAGGTCATGCACCACCCATAAATTTTACGGTTAATGGACATCAATATGAGTTGGGCTACTACTTGGCCGATGGGATTTACCCGAGATGGCCAACTTTTATACAGGGTATAACACATCCTCATGTTAGAAAAGACAAGTTGTTTGCTGATCAACAAGCAGCAGTTCGAAAAGACGTCGAACGGGCTTTCGGAGTTTTACAAACTAGGTTCGCTATACTACGACAACCAGCACTTGCATACGACGAAGATATTCTCTGTGATATTATGAAAGCCTGTATAATAATGCACAACATGATCGTCGAGGATGAACGACACAACTACGCACGTGCAGATGTTTTGAGACGATACTACGAAGAAGATCGACCACAACGTACGGTGAGGCGGGCAGACCCGAGCACAAGTGCCACGGTGTTTAACAACGAGCCATTTGAATTCAACGTCGGGCGACCACCCAACATTGATTTCAACACGTATTTGGAGAGAAGGATTTCCCTTCGTGATAGAGAAATTCATTCATCTCTGAAACAAGATTTAGTGGAGCACATATGGCAGAACTTTCGTCATAATGCGGTTGAATAAATAATTTTTTAGTTTGTTATTTGTAACCGTATCGTTATTTATGTTTTAATACTCGTGTTTGTATTTTATTTTAGTAGAACCACTTTTATCTAGTTCGTACTTGTACCGTTATTTAACATCCCATGTGTTTGTATTACCGTTATTGAAGTTCCCATGTGACTATTTAATGTGTTCATTACAAAAATGTGCTACTAATTCAAATGTTAAATTATAAATAAAACGTAATTGAAAAATAAAAAAAAATTATTAATTATAATTAAAACGTAATTGACAAATAAATAACAATCTTATTAAGTTATAATTGAAACGTAATTGAAAAATAAATATAAAAATTATAAATTTTTATTATATTATTTTTAAACGTAATTGAAAAGTAAATATAAAACTTATAAATTGTTATTAAATTATACATTGTTATTAAATTATTTTTAAATGTAATTAAAAAATAAATTATTTTCACATATTTTAATTGTATTAGAAAATTAAATATGTAGTATAAACATTATTTCAAAATAAAGATAAAATAAAAAGATGATGTGTATTATGGTGGGGTATAGTAAATAGTGGAGGAAAAAGTGATGAGAGGTTTTTTTTTCTCCTCATTGATGTAGTGAAAAAAACATTTGATGAGAGAAATTGTATGGGAGGAGTGAGAAAGTGGGTAGAGAGAGATTGAGAGGTTTTTTTTTCCTCACTGCTGATAGTGCGTAGACATTCAAGCATGACCTAATTTCATAGATTTTTTATTTTTTATTTTATTTGTTTAACCATTGGAGTAGTATATGTGTCAGAAATTTCGACAATATGCAATATGCAGGCATCAAATAAATAAATTGGCTCCTCCGTGGAGGTAAGGTTTGTTTATGTGATTGATGAGTGCTTGAATCACGTTTTAATTTGGTCTAGACAGGGTTAGCAAATCACTTTTAATTTTACGGTTTGACCCAGACTGAGTTGCATTGGGTCATTAGTTACATCATAGATCTATCTAATTGTAGTATGCGATGCTTGACAATCTATGTACCAAAGAATACATAAAATGTACATAAAAGCAATTTAAGTATATTAGGTAGGAGCAAATAGAATAGAGATTACGAAATATTCAATTTCAAAAACAATTTAAACTAAATCATGTTATTCAAAATTCGTTTTATCAAGTCTAATTTATATGTCATCTCAATCATAAAAAAAAAAAAAAAAAAAACAAACAAAAAAAAAAAACAAAAAAAAAATTATAAAAATTGATGATTATGATATCATATACTCACTCTCCCTTATTTTTTGCCCCATTTGACTTTTTACGGTCTCCAAGACGCGTTTTCAAACGTATATATCTCCATTTATATATGCTTAAAAATTATAAACATTTGATATTAATAAATTATACAATGAGACGATTCTAACAAGATCACGCATGAAAATATTATCATTTATAGATTAACGACAATTTATGGTCAAAAATTTTATAAGTTTGACCCATATTTTTGCAATGGGGCAAAAAAATAAGGGACAGAGGGAGTATCAAATATTCAGATACATACAGGATTTGCTATTGTGTTAGGGGACTCCCCTTATGATGGGTCGTACCAAATCAACCAACAAGGTTGCATGTTACTCTTGTAGTGCAATAGTAATGTATATATGCATTTTGTTTTTGCTACAATATGGTTTTATATGTAAGCATTGAACAAAATAATACAAGTATGTGATAGTTTTGGTCATTATACATTGTATGTGCCTCCCTAAATCAATGTCTCTGCCTTAGAAAGTTAGAATCTTTTGAACTATTGACAAGATCTTAAAAGAGCTTTAAGCACATGCATTAGCTTCATTAATTAAATTATTATCTACCATCTAATGCCTTAATTTTTGTCATTATTTTGATTTAATCAAAGTTTCATGCATGAATAAACACAAGGATGGACCGCATTTTAATTACAATTAATGGTCTTGATCTCATTGATGCAATTCATATCATAGTTTTGATTAAATATCTAATGGATGTATATTCTCCACGACATTGTAGAGAATTACAAAATGTAATAATAATGTGGAAGCTAAGTAATTGTTTACTAGCTTAGTTTTGTTACTAAGAAATTTTATGCTGAGAATTGTCACATATTTGTTTGAAATTATTTTGTAAAGTACTCGATTTGATGCAACTATTCAAGTTAATTTTTTGGCTTTTATACATATATTTATAAATGCAACTATTCAAGTTAATTTTTAAAATTGTAAGAAGAAGTTAAGGCAAATGGCACTCGATTTGATGTTGTATACTTATTATATGGATGACCGCTTTTGTTGTTATGAAATTGTACATTTGATTAAATTCAAAATAAGTACAAGGAGCACATTAAACTTACCTAAAATATCCAATTATATAATCATCATAATCAAAGAATATTAGTATGGAGTAGTAAATAATCTAATCAACCGTAATATACTCTGTAATTATCACAATTTTCTTTTCAAGAGAGAAAGAATACAATCACATACTACGTTCTTCAGGCTAGTTGTTCAATTTTATTTTCCTTAATTTACTACTCCATAAAACTTACATTCACTTTAATAATATAGTAGAATACTAGTTATCTTATATTACCTTCATTTCTAATTATATTTTAATTCTTATTATTATTATTATTGGCACACAAATTAAGAAAAATAGGAGATTAAATGAGTGGGTATAAAAAAAAATTAATAAAAATTAATAATACTAGTATACGATATACAAGTAATGGTTCTGTGTAAAAATAAAAAATTAAAAAAAAATTAAAAAAAAAAGTAGAAGTTATGGTTAAAGTAAGAGAGACTAAGATTGTGTGATATGGGTGAAAAAAAGAATAAAGGGTATGTTGTGTAAAAATGTGTAACTATCATAGGGTAAGCAGCTAACATTTATTGTCATGGACAAAAATAAATGAATAAAGTGAAAAATGTAAAGATCAATAGAAACAGAGGTAGAATCATACTTAATTAGTTAATTACACTTTAATGAAATTGATTATTTGCACATAAGAATACTTGTCAAGTCAATCAAAATGGAACAACTTAAAAATCTAGAGGAAGGCTTGATCACCAAGTAATAATAATAATCAAATTCCTTATATCTATAT